GGGAGTCGTTTGGTCAGCGGGCGGCAGCTGCTCCCCCTCGGGGGACCGCGGGGACCTGGGGGACGCCAGGCGCAGCTGGGAGTTTAGGGAAGCTGGGGCACCGGGACCAGGTCCTTCCCTCTTCGGGAGCCCCGCTACAGACTGAGTCACAGCGTGCCAGGCATAAAGCATTGTGCCAAGCACGGACATCCTTTAAATAAATGCTCTTCATTTCTATGACCACTCTGTATAGGTCTTTACATTTTCTATGCAGTTCATTTAGAGTCAAAACACGTAGAAAGAAAACTTGACTTTATCAGAGATTAACTAGGGGGCGTAGTTTCGCCCACCCTATGGCAAAAACCTGTGGAGGCTGGAGTATTGTGGCATGGCGTCCATCTCTCTCTCTGTCTGTCTGTCTGTCTGTCTCTCTCTCTCTCTGATTAACTAGGAAACTCAATATGGGCTATTAAACGCTTTTAGATTTCGGTCCAATTTTGATTATTTAATGATCTTAGGAAGATCTTAATAAAATATTTGAAAAGTCATTTTGCACTAATTTGTCCTTACTCTAAATGATTTATATCATCTCTTTCCAGATTCTGAATACCCTACACCTGAGAAAGAAATGCAGCAGTAAATTCCAAACATCTTTCACAAGACAATAACTGAATTTGGAAAGACCAGAATTCAAAGGGTACTAAATTGCTTTTACTATTCCTAGTGTAGTAAGAAGAAACAAGAGAATGTGTTTATTATTTATGAATATACTGGTTATATGTATTAGATCACACCTTTCTTCTCATACATCATGTACATAATATAATCCATATATCAGGAGACCTCAAAGCATTCATGGAAAAATGGAATTAAAGTAAGAGTTTATTTTGGTACAAAAGAAAGAGAAATCCATTTAGTTTTTTAATAATATGTATTTTCCATGAACTTTTGGGGGAAAAAACCTCATATATATAACATGTTTACAATAGATTTATAAGCCAAAGTGGAAGACTCTGTTCTGCATCTTAAAAATATTTATTTTATTTTATTTATTATTTTTTAATTTGATGAGAAAAGGAGAGAGAGGAAGAGAGAAAGAATGAGAAAGAGTAAGCCACCAGGTCCAAGACTCGAACCACGGTCGGCCATGTGGGAGTCCAGCACCTCAACCACCAGGCCACCTATTCTGCATTTTATAAATTTGGGTTTCTGCAAGTTTGGGTCTTGGAACTCAGCTGAATTCTGTGAACTGAGGGAAGCGTCATCCTGGAAAAATCTGGAAGGAGGGTAAGGAGAAGAGAAGATACAGAATAGGGAAAAATGTAAAGGGTGGGCCTTGCCTTCACATGTCTCCCAAATCTTCCTGGGAGCTCTAAAACTTCAGTGAAGATGATTAAATTTGTGTTTGTTGTGAACACAGTTTTTCTTTTTTTAATTAACTTTTTAAATTATTATTCATACATTAAATCGCTATACATCATTTAGTTAGATTGTGAAGAGACTTTACCCAGCATGATATACACCTCAATTCTGCCCAGATAAGACTATTATACACATCCTCATCAACAGATTAAAAACCTTGGGAACCAGCAGTTAGCGTAATGGCTATGTTGCTGGACTTCCACCTAGTCGACCGCGGTTCGCATCCCGGACCTGGTGGCTTAAAACTCACACCGGGCGCGTGTGCATGTGTGCCCAAGATCCCGAGAGGAGAATGGAGGAGAAGGGATTGCAGCATGACCATCCCCCCTGAGGAGTGATTTCTCACTTTCTGTCTCTCTCTGACCTTCTGGCAAGCACACGTGCCCTATAGCATAAACGTCTCTTAAAAATGTCTGGCAGGCGCACACGCCGTATAGCGAAAACCTCTAAAAAAAAATTTTTTTTTCAATTAAAAACCTTATCTGTGTCCCACAAGTGTTTTACTTCTCCATTTCCCCCCAAATTTTCTTTCCTATGCTCTCCCCCTCACACGCTCTTTCCACTTTGTCTCTAGTGTCCATTACAATTTTTAATACTTTTATATTCTCCAGTCTTTCAGTCTCTACCATAGAGTGCAGTCGGTATGTTGTTAAATGGAGACATACAATGTCTGTCTTTCATAGCCTGACTTGCTTCACTCAGCAGCAAATCTTCCATGTTCATTCACTTTCTATCAAATTCCAGGGCCTTGTTGGTTTTTATGGCTGAATGGTATTCCATGGAGTTATAGGTGCCATAATTTTTCAATCCATTTACCTATTTGTGGACATTTGCGTTGGTTCCATGTCTTAGCAATCATGAATAGTACTGCAATGAAGATAGTTGTGCAAGCGCTTTTCCAACTAAGTGCTCTCCTGTCCTTTAGGTAAATACCCAGGAGTGGAATTGCTGGATCATATGTTAGTCCTACTTGAAGGTCTTTGAGGAAACTCCGTATTGTTCTCCACAGTGGCTGGACCAATTTACATTCCCACCAACAGTATAGGAGTGTCCCCCTTTCACCACATCCTCTCCAGTACTTCTCATTATTTGTTCTTTTAATCTTTGCCATTCTGACTGGGCTTAGGTGGTATCTCATTGTGGTTTTGATCTGCATCTCCCTTGAACACAGTTTTTCAAAGGCACCTCAGGGTATAAATCAAGCACGCAGGAGACGCTCAGGAGGGCAGGCACTCTGGGAAGTGGAAGAATTTGAGGGAGGGCTTTGGGCATGTACAGGTGAGGACCAGGGCTCCAGTTAGCCTTACCCAAATCTTGAGGTACTTGAAGACTTGTATGAGGGTCAGTAGTCCAGAATTGTGTCAGTGACTCAACCAGCTGAATTCTTATTACCTTATTAAAGCTTTTTTACTTTCAGAGCTCCCCAGACTTGAACTAAGAAACTTCCCATGAGGGATTCTCTCACAGAACAGAGCATTTTACTGTGTTCTGAACCCAAGTAATTTTTTAACTTTATTTTTTCCCAAATGGAGAGAGAGATAGAACCCTCATCAGGATCTCAATGTGTTGATCCACCCTAGTTTTCAGCCAGCCCCAGATCATGGGCACTCTCAAGTGTGGCATACTCACAGAGGTCTCTAGATTTGAACCATTAACCTTCCCAAGTGGTATTGCCTCACAGAGCATCATGTTTTACACCACCCTCTGGCCCTGAAAATTCTTTTATTTTTATTTATATTTTTATATTAGGTGGGTGAGAGTAGAAAAGAAAACGGCTCTTATGTTGGGCCCTATTCAGTGGTAGCTTTTTGTTTCAGACGGTTAAAGAAGACTTTGAGGAAATAAAAATTATTTGGAAAAATCTAGGTGTTGGTTCCAGCAAGTGATGTGGTGGTTAAGGATGCTGGACTCCCATATAGCCAACCACAGTTCAAGTCCCGGACTTGGTGACTTACTTTCTCACTCTGTCTCCCTCTGGTCAAATTGAAAAATAATGATAATAAATATTTAAAATTTTAAAAAAGAAAGAAAAATTCAGGTGTAGTTGCTTTGTGTGCTCTGATGGGCAGAAGGGATGAAGTGAAGTATAAGGACTCCTCACACCTTCCATCTTGCCTCAGCCTATGTCCTGGAACCCTGAGTCCGAGAAAGCACCACCTGCATTTCTGCTTCTTGGGATTGTTGACGGCCATGCAGTGGTAGAGAGCGACAGGTAAGAATAGTGACATACCCAGCATGTTGGGAAGATGGCGGAGCTGAAGGTCGGTGATCATCTCGACACGCACAGTTCGGCTCTGAGGCTGCCTCCACTCAAGCTGTAAGAGACCTGGGCAAATTCTTACTCTTACAGAACCTACTATTCAAAACAGAAGAGTGAGAATTCCTCAAAGACGATAACTAGCCTCTACATGTCTAGTATTCAGCCTAGGGGATCCATAAATTCTGTAGGAAAAAAAAAAGTTATCAGAGAGAATCAAGTGGACAGCAGTCCCAAAGTGCCTGTCGTGGCAGACACCAGGCTTTCACACAATGATAAATGGTATTCAAGGATAAGAGAGTGCTATTTTATCACCACTGCTAGGTTGTCTCCCTGAACATTTAAATTACTAAAATTTCACAATGTTATTGTAGTAATCTGCTAGGGCTGTCATACAAAATACCTCAGCCTGGATGGTTTAAATGAAACGACTATTTTTCACAGTTCTGGAGACTGGAAGTCTAAGATCAAAGTGCCAAAGTTGGCTTCTGGTGAGGTTTTTTCCCCTCACTCAGAGGTAGTGCCTTCTGTGTTCTTCACCTGGCCTTTCCTCTTCATGCCTCTAATATGTCCATTTTTTAAGTTACCAGTCCTATCAGAGTAAGACCCCACCTTTATGACCTCATTTGATCTTAATTACCTGTCTAAGGTCACTATCTCCAAATATAATCACATGTGAAAGGTAGAGTTTCAACATTAGAATTTGAGGGAAGGGGAAGTACACAATTCAATCCATAATAGTTATTTAGCAGGTGTTCTGCAGGGCTGCTAGGGAAAGGAAAGGAGAGGAGAGGAGGGGAAAGAGGATGTGAAATCATTTATACAATATCTCTGACAAGCAGACTTAGACCAAGTGTTGACAAATTATAATATCAGCAATTGCTAGCATTTAATCATTGCTTACTATGGGCCAAGCACTGTTACAAGGACATTATGTCATCTCAATTCTCCAAACAACACTCCAAAGTAGACTGCATTTAACAGTTAAGGAAATATAGGCACAGAAAGGTCAATTAACTTAACCATTATCACAGGGCCAGGTAGTGCCCAAGCTAAGATTCGAACACCAGTAATCGTACTCCAGAGTCCACGCACTTAATCAGAACACTAGACTAGGGCCAAAAATAGGACATGCTTTAAAGGCACAAAAGTGCTCTTTAGGATGTCTGTAGCATATTCAAATACTAATAGCCTTCGCATGATTGCCGGTGATGACTCAATGAGTCTGTAACTGACTTAA